TCTAAGAGATTGGCCTTGCCCACCCTCCCTCCCTCTTGTGTCGTAAAGGTGGCCTTGGTGTGAAAAACAATCACTCTGGGAAATTGCTAGATTTCAGAATGTTGATACCGAGGCAGCCAAAGAATGGAAGGTGGCAGGGTTTGGAGGCGGCAGCTTGTTGTGGTGTCTCAGCTGTTTAGAAGGAAGCCAAGCAGGAGAAGCCACCACTGATCGTCTGCTGCATTCTCCCCACCAGGAGGTGCGCCCCTGGGAAAGGGAGATGGGGTGTGGTGTGGCGCCTGGTGGCCGCAAACCAGCCCCTTCTTTCTACTTGAGCTGGTTTCTTTCATTGATCACCTACGGCCCATTCTCATACCTTCTCCCCAGGTGGCAGTACCTCCGGAGTGCATGCTCCTTAGTTGGTTTCCACCACAAAGGCCATGGAGTAGACATGTCACCCCCGTGCACAGCACACACCGTCACCGTCCTTGCACACTGGAGTCTGCGGTTTGACCACTGTGTCTGGAGTGCCTTCTGTCCTGAGGGCTCATCTCCCAGAGCTGTCAGGATAGATTACCAGGTCTTTCTTCCTAATCTGTCTGAGTCTGGAAACTCCACTGAAACTTGTCAGCCCTGGGTGAGGGTGTCTCTTTCAGCATCACACAAACCACCACAGAAAGACAGACTGACAGACAGACAGGTGGTGGTGAAATGCTGTAGGTTGGCATGAGTCTCAAACTGACATTGCAAACTGCTTTGAGATCTGCTCCCTATGAGGTGCACCCCAGTCTCACAGTGTAGGGTGAGCACTTGACTCTGTGAGGTGCGCCCCAGTTCCACCCCAGCTTCACTGTGTAGGGTATACGTTGCTCACTGGCCTGCGTAGAGGCCATGTGAGTCGTGCTCTGACTCGGGGTGGCCTCTCTGAGGGGCTTCCTACATGACTCAGGGCTGAGCAGCCACAGGAAGCCGTCCCCCGTCCCTCCCCCTCCCCCCGTGCCGCTGGAATCTCATTTCCTGTGTGGAGCGCCTCATAGGCTGACTCATGGAGCCAGAGCAGGGATGATTTCAAAGGTGGTTCTGCCTCCCACTTCCTCTGCATTTATAGCCCGCTCTCCTAGAAATCCCAGTTTCTGTAAAAACGTGTACAATTTATTCATTATTAAGCAGCAGTCATCAAAATCAGACGATACATTGCACTGGGCAAACCGGCTGCAGAAGTGTCTCAAAAGTTTCCAGACGCAAATTACCTCATAAGCACGCAAAAGCTGAACAATGAATAAGGAAGACCAAAGGAGACTCGATGCCTTTGAATTAGGGTGTTGACAAAGAGTACTGAAAGTGCTCTGGACTGCCAGGAGAATAGGCGAATCTTTCTCGGAAGAAGTACAGTCAGAAAGCTTCTTAGAAGCTAGGATGGCGAGATTGTCTCACGTCCTTTGGACAGTTTGTCAGAAGGGACCGGTCCCTGGAGAAGAACATCATTCTTGGTAAAGTAGAAGGTCAGTGAAAAAGAGGAAGACCCTCAGCGAGGTAACTGGTACGGTGGCTGCAGCGGTGAGGCGCAGGTCCAGGCTACGCTTTCTTCTGCTCTCCATAGGCTGCCTGTGAGCTGGAACCAACTCGACTGCACCTAACAACTACCTAGGAGAATTGGGTCTGTGCTCCGTGTCTGGTGTTCCTGGCATAGACGGGATTATTCATGGAAATCTGCACCCTTGAATACCTTCCATGGGAGGAATTTTTTTACATGAAAGCAAGGTTTTATAAGCAGTAATAATTGTACTTAGCATGACCGGTATGTAGGGAATATCCCTGAATGAACTTAGCTCGGTGTATTTAGGGGTGGTAGTAGGTGCCATCAAGCTGACTCGGACTCCTGGTGACCCCAAGTGATGCAGAGCGAAGCGCTGCCCCGTCCTGTGCCCCCTCTCAATCACCATGTGTCTCCCTGAGGGTCCCCCTCACCCTCGCTGACCATTTGTTTCACCAAACATGACGTCCTTCTCTAGTGGTCCATCTCGCACGTGTCCAGAGCAAGAGAGTCAGACTGTATTCTGTTGTGATCCATTTTCAGTGCCTGGTTTTTGGAGGCGGGTTGCCAGATCTTTCTTCCTCATCTCTCTTCTCTGGAAGTGCTGCTGGTGTTTGAAATACTGGTGGAGGTGGCATGGCTTCCAGCATCACAGCAACACACAAGCCCCACAGACAGGAGGTGGCATGGCTTCCAGCATCACAGCAACACACAAGCCCCACAGACAGGAGGTGGGAGGCATGTATTTATGGCCTGGGAGAAGTGCTGTGAGAGAGAACCTTGTACAAAGTGTCCCCACTGGGCCGCAGGTGGGTGTCACAGGTGCGTGTGTAGATTTAGGAAGTCCAGATGAGGTAGTGGAGTGAAACTCGGGGCTGTTGTCCCTCACTCTGAACCGTCCCATCCTTCAGCAGGGTCTCTGTCGTCATTGCACAAGTAAACAGCTTGAGAGAAAACTTGCCAACCTTACAGGTTGGCATAAACGGCAAAGAGGGTCAGCCCAAAAGAGGAAGACCGTCAATGAGAGACTAGGAAGAAAGACCTGGTGATCCTCCAAAACCCACCTGGTAGAAATGGATCACCACAGAATACAGTCTGACTTGCTTGCTGTTGACTAACTTTGAGGTATCGTGGAAAGTATGGAGCAGAAGGAATTCTTAGACAGGGGCAGAGCTGAGGCCTGTGCGTGCTGTTGCAGGTCCTGGAACGGAGTAGGAGCCGGCCTGGGGAACCAGTCGGCCTGACTCGTTGCCTCCTGCTTGTGATGTGTCAGCGCTGCAACAGCGCCCTGCACCTGCTCTGCGGAGCGCTGTGTGGTCAGCGGTGTGTCCACATAGGCCTG